CCTTCTGAGGTTCGGTACGGCTGGAATCTCCTGGCACCTACACAACAGTGTCGAACACGTCACCTTCTTGGAGGGTATGTGAGGATCCCTAGGAATAGACCGATGGACTTCGGAAGACGTGCCGATGAAACTCCTCCCCACAGAACCTGATGGCAATACGGGGGATGGTGGATCGGGACGGTGACGGTGGAGTTGCGCCGGTGTGCGAAGTGATATGAAGTGATATAGGCACCTCTTCGTGCTGCGCGCGCACGCATGTTTCAGTTGCAACGACTAATGGAAGCGCACATGACTCAAAACATCGCAGAGGGAAAGGCATGTGTGTGATGTGTCACCTCCCTGAGACCAGAGCTAAGAGCACCGGAACCGGCCGAACTGAGCTACCGTTTCGGGGCCAACCCCCAGCTGAACCCAGCCGATGGGCAGTAGCGCTGGGAAGTTTGAGCAGCATGGAGGTCAAACCCTAGCTGCGAGAGAGAGGGAGAGAGGCAGAGAGGGGAAGTAGCCAAATGGTTAAATGAATTGTTGGTTGCAGTGGCGAATCCATCAGCCGTAGACCAATCGCCAACTCCAATCATTGGTCTTAAGAGTAGGTGCTGTGCATGGGATGTGTTGGGAGGTGGCTTTTTGAGGCTGGAAATGTTCATTCCTGTGGCCAGGATCTGGGTTTCCAGGATATCACCAAGGTTTTTTTCGTGCCTCGGCTGCAATGGCGCTCGAAAGATGCATCTTAACATGTGTTGCAAGGCTTGGATGTTCGGCTGCCATTTCGATCGAGGCTGAAAAAGCATCATGGTTATCCTCTATAGAATCACCTGGGTAATGGTATCCCATAAAACGTTTGGGGTTCGATGATTTTATAGAGGAAAGCTGCTTGTATCCAAGAAACGTACGCGTTACGTGGAGTTGTTTTATGTGTTTTCTGGTCACTGCTCAGGCACATGGTGGCCTGAGGTTGAATGATTTTATAGAGACCTATCTGGGGTAGGCCTGCTCACTTTGTACTCCCTAGGGGGTGACCACCACCATGTCATATCTGAATAAAATCACTGTCAAGAGCCACCCCCCCTATATCCACAGAGATGAAAAATCTAACTACTTCTAGAAGCTGAGTGACCCCACTGACCCATATTTCTTGGACTTCCAACCACCCTAATTACTGTATATATACATCCTTTTCCTCTCAAAACAGTTAGGTCAGGTCAGATGGGCCTGGGATGGTTTGGGTATCTACGGCAAAAAAAGATTCTTTATGATTCTTTGCTCCATGAACATCTTTCAAGGTTGGGTTCTCCAACCACCTAGACATCCAGTAGTTTTGCTCCTTCGAGGATGGTGAGAACATTTGTGAGAACATGTGTGAGAACCGTTTTCGATGGTTTCGGGGATTTTCAGGGCGTCCTGATGAGTTTGGATGCGGCCCATTGGGTGCTTTTTCAGAGGTCCAGCACGGCACGGGTGAGGTCCAGCACGCCATTGCTCAAGTTCTTCGATCCGGACGGACAACTGGAAGTGGATTTTCTCATCAAGAATGAGACTGGGCTTGATTTAATATACGCCCCTGCAGAGGACCACATGGAACCCCAAAACCACTGGGTTGTAGAGGAAAATGGTTTGTTCAATTGTGTTAGTTTGCCGGGATGCATTTCTGGTGGAAGGACTCCCTAATTTTTTGCATCGATAATCCTCGATAGATGTACTCATCGTGCTCTCCTAGGTTCTCCTTATTTGGCAATGCATAGGTGGTAAACAGCTGCCGTTTTTTTTTGAACTTGTTTTTGGCTCCATGAAGTAGCATGAAGAACAGGTGTCAAGTAAATATCTTGTCCGCTCTTCTCTCCAAGCAACCATCTCACTGTCACAAACGCTTCAGGCCGAAGCAAAGAAACTAAGCACGAACCAATGAACCACGGGACGCTACTCAACATCTTTGCCAGGGGGTTCGTTTGCACCTCCCCTGGCCAGATCCTCTCTTCGGACCGTCTCTCGACCCACCCGCGCCTGAGGACCTGGGCATTCGAAACAGCCACCTGCTGGACACCTACTGCCGCTGCGATCCCCGGGTGCCCGTGCCGCCCGGCCGGCGCGAAGCGTCGTGCGAACGGGGAGGGTTTGGGCAGCGCGGGTGATGGTGGGCGCTTGAGGTTGTTGCGGCAGGGTTTGGGGGAGATGGCGACGAAGACGCTTGGGGATGATTTTGAGGTGAGGTACCCATACACCTTTTTGTGTGGAGTCTCTATTCACAGAGGCTTGCCGAATCAACATCCTTCGACTGTTGGCGACTGTTTGTTTCATACCCGAGACGCTCCATGTATGGTATATATGCCTACATTGACCCCAGGTCAACCACCCCAATGTATGTAATTGAATATGCCAGTCCCATGGAGTGTTTGGGTACTGTTTGCACCACTGCCGCTGGGCGGCCCGTGTCGAATGATCTCGAAGGATCTCGCGCCCTCATGCGGTGTCACATCCACATGCGGCTTTGTCAGCGCCCTTGCGGTGTGCCAAGACGAGTTCCTGGGGAACCAGGTTTACGAACGAGGATCGAACGTGTGAATCGGATCATGTCAATGATTCACACAAGATGGAATTGAACTACCATTGATTCCATCCATGACATGAATTCATACCCACTTGGGGATGATTCTATGACAAATGGGCATCTATATCCAGGTGACATCGCTTCGGACCGGTCCGGTGTTTGAAAGTCTTTTCCAAGGAAGAGGCCCTAGGCCTCCAGTCGTACCTCTTCAGGTTCGGTATGACTGGACCCTCCTGGCACCCACGCCCCAGTCCCTCCTTCGAAACGAAAGTGCGACTGGAGGCCTAGGGATGTAAGAATATCATGTCAAACGATATGTCAATCTATACTCCGGTCAGCTCCGGTCAAGGAATAAGTTTTTTGCAATGCTCAAATAGCAATATTTGTTGAATCAGCAGGAAATTGTTTTGCATGTCCTGGAGTATGCAGGTATACGGTATTTAACATGATAATAGATAGTAATAGATAGATTGGTTTGGAACACTGATTCCCAGGTTGGGCCGCTTGGTGTACCTTGGATGCAGCGGTTGTTTCTTTTTGGAACGGCGGCGTCGCCGGTGCTGGGTCAATTGGGAGGTTCATGCGGCGAGGCTCGCTTCACACCGCGGAATTCGAGTGGCGGACACCAGCGACATGACCCACAGATCATCGGAGTTCGGGGGACCTTGCGTGTGGCGCCACTGGTGTTGTCCGCACGTGGCCACGCGGCCTGATGTGGAGCACCTGGTTCTCTTCGAAATTCATCGGGGTGATGACCTTGTCCTTGGGTGACGAGTAGGGGACAGCAGGCAGTCAGGGTGTAGTAGAGTCAAGGTGGACGCGTCTAGTAATTACTACTATAGACTAGATTAGACTAGTAGATTCTAGTAGCCTAGCTGACACGGCTCCACCGAACTGCGCACTTTCGTCGCAAGGAAAGATTGGGCCAAGTGCCACGAGTTGGTGAGCGTGCCAGATGGATGTTTGAATAGCTATGCGCATCTGGGACAGCATGATCAGGTGGAAAGGAGTCCAACATTTGGAGAGCCAGGAATGGAGGCTTCTAAGTGAGTGGCTCTGTAGAAAGAACATGGAAGAAGCTCCAGTTTTTTTTATTAAGACGATTTGTTATCTTCCTGGTTCCTGAAGCAAATCGAAGAAGTCGGTCGCGCTGCCTGCTCCAGAACGCCCCGTAGCCGTGATCAACACGATGACATTGGGATCCTTGGGATTTGGCCCGTTTGCCACCGGCATCCTGGTGAGGTGAGACCACTTCGGATATCTACCCCCCCAAAAGGAAAATTTAGGAAGTATAGGTTCATGGCAAAGGAAGTGGGGATTACTCGGTTGCGACCTCAAACAGCGAACCTTGACCGCATCATTCAGCACCTGGAATTCGCAGCTGGCTGCTGGCTGCTGGGAGATGTGGTCGCGAAGAGATGTTGCTGGGTTGCCCCCCGCCCTTCCAGCAATCCCCAGGAACACGACCCATGGGACTGCCGTAGGACTGCCGATCGGGGTGGTTGACCTGGGGTCAATGGATCGGCAGTCCTATGGCAGTTGCATGGAGTGTTTGGGATCTATGAGTCTATGAGGAACTTCATCGCTCGTCGCGGGGCCGTGCCATCCACTGGATTGGATGTCTTGAATTGAGATTCTTCAACCGTGGTCACGGTGGCGGACATGTTGATGTTCAACCGTCAATTGGGTTGATTGAGCCCAGACTCAGACTCATTTTTTGTATCGGAGCTAAAAGCACCAAACGTTTACTTGTCCAGCATTTGAGACCGGATCGCGATTGAAGCCGCAGGGAGTTCCATTTTTCACACCCCGACGGAGGACCCCAGTGACATGGAGAATAGGCTCCGAAAGGCCCTCCCCGAGACCGGCACGCAATTGAAACTCCTAGGCCATCATGGTCCATTGAGTTTAGACATGTTTAGACTATTTTGGACTATTATAAACAACAGATAGTAACTAAAAACTACTTTCCAATACTTTCCAAGACTTCAGTGACTTTGGTGATTTGGTGAAGCAAGAAAGGCGATGATAATCGATGATATCTCCACTTCTGGGCAACTTCTGGGTGACCTTGATCATAGAAGCGTTTTGTGTATGTGAAGCTAGGATTGAGAAGTTGCGCGGATAGCTCGGGTAGTTGATTCATGATTGCTTCGGTGGAAGTTGGAGGGGGGGCTGACAAGAGGTCCTAAGTCCTCTTCAGCTGTTGGGTATAGCTCTATATACACGTACCCCAATCCGCATCACTAGTCACTAGGAACTGGCACTGAATCATGAATCATACCATTCAGATAGATTGTATACCACAATTGGTATAGCATGGATACTTGTGTTTGTTGCTTTCATGGCCATGTTTCCTTTCATCCCCCTGTTTTTATTGGGGGCCTTGGTCGTTTTCCGCCACCCACCCAAGAGGGGGGAAAAGAGAGCTTGGAGCTTGGATTCCATAAGGTATATGCTGATGGTGATCCACTATTTGCAGCGGCCTGTCGGATTAAGTGCCCCAAATGGAAGGGCGATGAGCTACTCTTCATACGCTCGGTACGCTGAGCGACTCTACCGACCGACCGTTCTTCGCTCGTGTTTGGTAGAGAAGAGTCCCGGACCATGAGAGACGAGAGAGTATTCCCATCCAGTGCGAGAGCTCAGTCAGTGGGAATCATGAGAGGTCTTTTTTGGGGTGAGGGAAGTTTAGAGGCCGGCTTCTATAGGGACAGGGACAGGGACATCTGGTATTTTTCGCGCGTCGCCTCGCCTCCAAACTTCTTCAGAACCAAAGACTGGGAGAGACCTTGAAGTGAGTTGCCTTTGGAAGGTCTTTCAGGTCCTTTAATGGTGCCCCCCCATGCGGCCACCGGGCACCACCGGACCTTGATTTGGTCCAGAGAGCGGACCATTGGGTGTAGCGTCCGAACACTTTTTCGGGGTGGTGCACCTGATGGTTCACCATATGCCAACACAGGTGGGTCAGAACCCGACTCTTCGGCTATCCCAGGAACCGGTACCCCTAGGTGTTCCGGGTCCGGGTCGTCACTGGCGACCTCTGTTGGTGGACCATCATTGAGCCCAGGCCCCGGAACTCAGCCTCGATCCCCGAAGAACGACGTCTCAAGACTCGAGTGGCGAGTGACGAGTGACGAGGGTCCAGGGTGATGTTCATGAACTCGGCAAGCAGTGAGTGCTGGGCCATCTCCTGTCAGGGAGGTGGCCATATGTAAGGTCAGAACTTGCCATGCAAAACACGTCAGAGGTTGCCAAGGCTCGAACGACCACACCTAGGAACAAAGCCAAATCGACCCCAAGCGGTGATTTCTCGTATTCCCTACGGACGCGTCCGCTGAACACAGTTATTTCTCTCCGGGTTCTGAACACAGCATTTGGAGGCCAAAACATTTGAGGCCACCCATCTTTTATATAGCCTCCCTTCGCCCGAATGCCTCCCCATTGCATCCCCCCAAAGCATCTCGGAAGGTCCCTGCAGCCTCCCGTGGTGCCGAACCTCCAGCAGGATTGGCCCGAATGGCGCCTCCACCGAAAACTGGGACCTTTCTGTGTTGGGATGAGGGTGGAAAAAGCGCCGTCAACCCGATCTTAAGCCGTCGGTAGCATGGCCCTGGATCATTCCTTTGGGGGTTCCAGACCCTGGATCGAATCTATCATCATCATCTTGCTGATGGGATATACCCAAGATACCCAAGTTGCTGATGTTTTCCGCTTTGGAAGGCCCTGGATCTGTGTTAACACACGACACATCGTGCGTCGTGTGTTGGGGCGTCCGGAACTGGGATCCGGAGACTCTTTGGGGCTTTGCTTTGGAACTGGACCGAACAAGGAGCGGCTTCGGTCAGGACCAATGAACTGCAAATGGGGAGGGAGCGACGGCTTGACCTTAAGGTTTAAAGAGGCCAAAGCCTGAACTTGCATTTGACAGATGGTCGGTCATGTTCAAGCAATTACTGTAGGTCATCCTAGCTCATAGAAGGTAAGACATGTGGAATTTCATTTTGCAGAGAAACTCCTTTGGAGCGGCTTCAACATAGTGAAGTGAAAGCACATTTAACATTGCAGTTTATTCCTTGTTTGTCTTCAATTTTGTCTCAAAACACATAGATTATCATAGATGTTGGGAATCGAAAGTGAAAGGAACGAAACAACTTGTCGACAGTTGGTTTTGTGTTTTTGGTGTTTGTTTGGTTTTCTAGAGTTCCACAATATCCTTTATGATCTCAATCTCTGTGTTGATTCCCCCATGTCCCACGGTGGAGACGTGGCGACGGACCGTCTCCGGAGCCGTGGACCCGTTTCGGCTCCGGGGGGGGGCAGCGACCGACTGCCATGGACTGCCGATCAGTTGGCGTGGTGGTTGACTGGGGGGTCTAATGGGACGGCCATATATTTATATGGCAGTCCCATTGGCCGTGGTTTTGGGTATGCCAAATGATTTGATGTTCTAACTTGTGTCATTTTGTTGGCATTTCGACCATTCAACTCCAGCTTTATATGTCACGGAGCTTGGTTTGGTCGTGTCATAGAGCCACTTGCCGGAATGTGATTGTTTAAGGTTGGTCAGCCCATTTTATAGATTTACCTGGTTTGGCATTTCTAGAGATCCGAGGTTCGACTTCATGGGGACACCTGCCCACAGAAAACCTCAGTGGAAGTGTGGTTAGAAATAGTAGTTGGAAACAGCAGATTCAAAGGTGATCCAAAAATGGGCCTCCTAAGGGTCCCAATGTGTTCCGACGTTCACTGTTGGTTAAAACATGTTAAAACCCTCTCTCTCCCCCTCTCTCCCCCCTCTCTCTCTCTCTCTCTCTCTAGGGGTTATAAATCAATCATGTCCTTAGTGGAAGGCGTATTCTTGTATACTCCTGAGACATGGAAGCAGGATATTTGTTCACTCTGAGTATACTCAGGAGATGCTCAGTCACAGGTAATACTCCGAGTCACTCACATGGGTTCACCAGCTGTGAGTTCACCAGCTGTGTGGTAGACCGGAATGAGCCATGTCATCGGGCCATGTCATCCATCGGTGAGTCCTGTTCAAAGCCTTGGACCTTTTGGGGTTGACCACATGCCCGGCATACCCAGGGCATCCAGGCAATATAGCTGGTAACCACAAGCCATAGACCTAGAATTCCTGGTTCCTTATATAGCGGTAACTGGGATCCACTGGGATATATTTATATATACAGTATTATATACCAGGACCCCGCAGTCGGGGTGGTGAATGGACATCACACCCCGAATCACAGCTTTCTGGGGCTATAAATAGACACCCCGACAGGAGGGTCCTGGTATGTATGCATATACTTAGCCTTCTAGTTGTTCCCTTTTTCCCTTTTTTTTCCAGCATGGAGTGCTGATGGTAGGGATGATAGTAATAGTGATGAGCATGATAATAATGATGGTCGCGCTGGTCATTATGATGCTGTGGTAGTAGTGGTGGCTGGTGGTAGGGGAGATGGGTAGTGGGGGTGACCATGAAGATGATAGTGATGATCGTGATGATGATGGTGGTGGTGCTGATGGTCACAATGACGACGATGATGTCGATGACAATGATGAGGAGGAGGAGGAAGAGGAGGAGCATGGTGTTGGTGGTGCTGGTGACAGTGTGATGTTCAATGACTCAATGTTTATTCTTAGAGATTTATTATTTTCAGATAGAGGCTTAGATTAGAAAACTGAAACTCACAACCGCATCCTTCAGATGCTTCAAGTGCTGCAGGGCTGAAGCAGCACTGTGCAAAATGATGCTCGCAACGTGAGGCTTAGAAGTATCTACTGTAGAAAGCCAGCTACACTGCCTTATTTACATCCATCCATCCATCCTTGTCATAGTTTCTTAATGGTTCTTATCCTCATCATCATTTTCACTAACCACCATCGCCATCATCAGCATCACGTTGCTTCAAATTATTCTTTGATCGGAACGCGCGAGGACTGTAGGAGAAACCAGCCAATTGACATGCCAAAGCCCTGACAGGCGGGGGGGAAGCACACCCCCTTCATGCGACGGCTGGCCCGGGGCATGTGGTCACTGGACACCCAAGAGTTGCACCACCTAAAATCGACCAAAAAGCGGTCAATGATTCTTGTCTCCTGAAGGGGTGCAAGTGTTGCCTACTTCATGGACAGCCGGCCTTGGGCATCTAGTCTCAGACACAGGGGCAGTGGGAGCCACCCCCCAGACAGGGCCTGTGCATCCTAACTTAAGCCCCAAATCAAACAATCAACCCGAAATCAAACACGAACTTGAAAGGAACCGATGCGGCAAACACAACCGATGCGCATGGTGAGTCCCGACCCAACGAACCCTATTGCCATCTATGCCGAGCCGTTCCCAGTCGTGGCACGGGTGGTTGGGCACTGGCAGGCGACGTAAGAATGGTCGGGTTCAAAGGTCGGTGAATGGATGAAATAATTAGTGATAACATATCCAAAGATCAAAGGTGTTGTTTTCTGAAGCCCAGTGGTTGGAGCGAGGTTCAGCCCATAAGCCCAACGGACTGGTCCCATGCGATGCTAAGCCGCTCGCCATCATGCTGCAAAACGAACTTCTCGCACGCATAGTGCGATCCAGGTCGGCCATCACTTTCAAAGAAACCACCCTGGATCGCACCACAACCACATCAACACCACCACCCAAACCACCAAAACCATCACCACTGATGTCCAAACCACCACCTTCCTTCCTAACACCGCCCGATCCACACCCACGACGACGTGAAAACCACCACGCTTTTCGCCCACCCAAGGGAGACGGACTCGCACCCTGTGAGCGATCTGAAGTGGGGCGTTCCTCGGTTTGGTCCGATCGAACGACCGGGGCGGCGCGGTTGCGGTGGGGCGCGGGTGCTAAGAACTCCCAAGAAGCCCAAAGGGAGGTCCGGAGGGTGTCAGGGCGTCAGGGCGTCAGACAGGTGGTTCTCGGAGTGTTGTTGGCTTGGGCTTGTAATCATGGTTTTTGACAGCTGAATCTGGGTTTAAGCAGCCAGAGAGATATTTCAGAGAGGTGTGAGGGAAGGTTGGGCCCAGCTTCATTTTGAGCTGCATTTGCACGGTGCATGTGGAACCTCGAACACTGTGATCCTGCACAGCAAGAGGCTGAGGTCACACACACACACGCACATATCATATATATATATATATATACAGGAAATCCCACAGGACGCCATAGTTTTGGGGGGTGAAAACAAGGACTTCCTGTAGATGTTCCGTGATTTCATTGAATCTATGATACCTGCTAGAGGAGCGTTTGGTACCGAGTAGAACTCCTTCTCATCAACAGCATGATGCGCATGATGGGTCAGCCAGAGGCGTTTCACCGGCCGGTCCTGTGCCCGGAGGGGAACGGAAGGCACCTCCGGTCGAGGACGGTGTTCCTGTGTCCCACATCCCATCCAAAGCTGGGACATGATGGGACACCCCCCGTAGACTGTTGGAGAACTCCAGCTCCTCAGGCACTGGGAGATGCACTCATAACATCATGATGGGCCTAGGGAGTTTAAACCTCATAAGATCTATACCAGCACCCGACTTCACAGGTCACCAATTGAGACCTCTTATATAGGCCCAATAATCCTCCAGAGACCTGTGGGAGGGTGCTGGTATAAGTACTTTAATTCAGAGATGGCCAAAAAGACATCAATTGCTTCATGATGCTTCATCAGACTTCATCGGTTCATCGGATCCCAAAGAGCCCGTCGGTTGGATTCGACCTTCGACTGGGGCAGTCAACAAGGGCCCAATGACAGAGGGGGATTTCGGCTTAGGGAGGAGTCAGGCAGCCGGGCTGGGGAGTGGTGGGAAGGTTCCCCCCCTAATTGGGCTCGGCTCGATGGCTCGCCTGGCAGCTTCACTTCGAAGTTCCCAGCCAGGCAGCTGGGCGTCCAGATCTTTCCATGAACACGGCAATGAACGAAATCTGTTGGATCATAGTCTGTAGTGTCTCCATCTCCTTGTCTTTGCAGGGATTGCACCTGGTGGTTTGCCGTCCACTTTTGGACACCGGAGATGAGGGCTTGTTGGGATGCGTCTTTTTTCCTCCATGTTGCTTGCCAAAGTCACACTATCATAAACTAACCACATCGAGATCTATCCACATCTTGGTGTCAATGGTTCTTTTGGGTGCATCGCAATTTTTCTCTTGGCACCCCACCTACTTGGAAGGGAGCAAGTTGGAGCGGGAGCATGGATTGTCCGCACATTGCTGTGCTGTCAATGGTTCTCTTTTCCCTGCAGAGCACCGATCTTGATTTCGAAGCGCTACCGAGATGGAGAATATTTGTGAGACCCGCTTCTTCGACAAGGCGGGTCCGCAGGACGCCGAGGAAAGGGCATATTTATGTCCCTTTAAGGCTTTGGTTGGTTGGATTAATGCTTGGATTCAACATGATTAATATAGAGGAAGGGGGGGGCCGCTCCAGGTGTACAACATCACATCAAACAACAGGGCTCATACATGGTACGTACTAAACCGACCCCTCTGTTCCCAAAAGGACGTCATGGGTTTAGGGGACTTGACCAGTGACTTGACTCGGACGTATCGACTTTCTGATGTCCTCTCCGATGTGTTGGTCACTTGGGACACCGTCGACCGGAGGTGAGGGTCGACCGAGCGACCTCTCAGCTGAGTTGAAAGACCATGTGTCCGAGTTGAAGGACCATGGGACCTCGGGTACGTCTTGGGATCCTTGGGTGGTGCAAACATGACGGATGTCATTTGGGACTTCGATAATACATCAATAGACATAGACCAGCACTCGAGACCTCTGGGGGCAATGCAACCTCGGGAGGCCGTAGTTGGAGGGCTAGGATGTAATAGACATGTGCTTGTTTTATCTACTACGACGATGTAGGCCATGGCCGATCATGTATCACCATGCCTTTGGGAAACCGACTTAACGGCTGCTTCGACTTCGTGAGCTTGCACTCGCACCAGGTCGACGAGCTCAGGCGCAACCCATCGGCCAACGACACGAGCGTCTCGGTGCCAACGGCGGCGTGGTGGAGGAACGAAGATCAGAGCGTTTAGCTCTCTATGTCTGGCCGCAGGGTGAGCGTTTGTGCGTCCCTTTCCACTCCCCCCAACAAAGGGGTCAATCCTCTAACCTAGTGCCATATGATGCTATATAGTATGCTTATACATTTATATACATGCGTATAGCAGACATATGAAACCACTCCAGGGTAGGCAAACGTGGCCGGGATTTGCGTGCATCAAGCCTTGCTGTCACAAACAAATTCGATCGGAACCAGGGTTGCCGGGGCAACCCACATGGAAGTCCTGAGAGGAATACAGCAAAAACATATAGTAAACCATTGAATTAATGCGGCTTTCCCCAAAACGCTGGAGATCACTGCAAAAGCTCTGAACACTTTGGTCGGGCTCGACCAGATGAAACTGCACCGGGCATGACCCAACTTGAGCAAACGGCGGGCTTTGATTCCGTGGAAAAAATGACGGGAACCGAGGACCTTGGGCAGGAAAGCTCAAGCTCAAACCTTCAGGCCACGGAATATGTTTTTCTCAACCATGGACACACACTCACACGGATATAGGTATTTAGATGTTATATAAATATATACGGGACAATAGGGTTGAGTTGATTCTGTTGCCTTTTTCCAAGAGACCCACCCAATAGATCAGGCGACGCGGAGCTGCTCATTGGATTCTTCAACTACTATGGCTGCTTGGTGTTCAGGGGAGTGGCAGATGATCCAGCCCACGTGGCGGCTGCCTAAACACTGATTTGATCAATTTGATCCCCACCCCGCTGGAGTCATAACCCCGCTGGAACCCAGGGAAATCCGGTCGAGTCAGTCATGACTCTAAGTGGCTTCCCGTGGCTTCCGGCGGTGGCGGCCCCACCGACAAGCTCCGGACGCCATCGCCCTGAAAGACTTCGGACGCGACTCCGTGAAGGTGACCTGAACTACCCGGAAAACCTCAGGGTTCAGGGGTTCTGACCCACCGATGTTGGGAGAAACCGATCCAAGGTCGGTTTGGGTTCGTTCGTTTTCAGCACCCCGTCGAGGCTTCAGGTGCCATGGCAGACCTGCGGCGCTCCTACCGGACCTCCAATGGGGGAACTGAGACCCCCAACCAATGGGTTTTGGTCTATTTTCCTACTTCCCAGGGGTCTTTGGATATGAGTTTCATGAACTCAGTGAAATATGGCACTAGTCATCTTGGCTTGATGTGAGCATCAGATGGGAGACTGAGAGCATGTGATTTCGGGGGAGCGAGAGGTCTGTTTTTTTGGGGGGATGTGATGCAAACCGGTTAAACCTGGATCTTGACATCAGGGCCCTTAAACAATCCTGAATCTTCAAAGTGGCTGAACATGAGATCCAGGATTTGAGGTCACGAATGGTCCTGGAATCAAGTAACCCTGATGATTCCAGGGTTTCGTGCACTTGCCCCAGCGAGCCTTGAGTCACTGACTGTTGACGAGCTTTGCCCCACTGGTCCCACATCTATTGATCAACGCGATCTCATGTACACAGACAGGACAAAGGTTGGACACAAGTGGGGGGACATGGGCATTTCTTTTTCACAGAACCTCAGTGGTTGAGGGGGACATCCACAGTACCGTTTTCTTGGGGTGGGTGAAGGAGGAGCGGTATATGGCCAGCATCACCAACCACGCTCTGCTCCGAGTAGCGTGGGGAGAAGGGCCATATCAGAGCCTAAGAAGTAGAGATGGTCAGATTCATAGGGATATGCTGGGTGGTAAGATTCATTCATCCATTCCTGGTCCATTCCCCACATGTTTGCGCCACGGGCTAGGCTGGGTCTTCGATTGGTCAGAGAATGCCGTGTGCATCAGTGCCTCGGCCATATACATCGCGCAACATCCAGGCGTTGTGGATTGTACTTGGGACGGTTGGGGTGAGTACCAGTAACAATCATTCCCTAGGGCTACATGTACCAGCTACCTTCCTCAAGTTCGGTACGGCTAGACCAACAGTGTCGAACACATCGCCAAACATGAGGAGGTACGACTGGATCCCCAGGGATCAATCATCATGTGCCCTGGAAATGTGCCCAACTTTGGACCAACATGGGAGCCGGTGCATGCAGGCTCCACCCGTGCAGGGCAGTCCACCCGGCTTCGGAGGTGTTTTCGGTGCGAAATGCCCTCACAGAGCTGCGTGATGTGAGTCTTCATGGGCAGGTTTCGTGGCAGGTGCAGCACTTGGTGCACCTCAACATGCAGAGTTCGTGTCGCTGTGTGAAGGCGGAAGTGCAGATGCGGAGGGCGGGCGCCGGCAATCTGTGGACCTCTGATGTCTTCATGTTTGTGCGCTCCTGTGTTCAATCTGTGCACTCTCACAGGTGTGTTCACATTGATTGGTTTGTTATTGGTTGCTTATATGTGTGCTCTCATGTGTGTGCTGGACTTAGTGCGGAGGTTGGCTTATTCACCATTGTTCCTTCTACTTGACACTGTTTGATGTTTTTCCTTAAGCGCGCGCTGAACTTGAACAATCTTAGAACATAGTCTTACATGTCTTGCACTTATAAGGTCTCTTCAACATGTGGCCTTACACCCCTCGACTTGTTGCCCTTTTCCAGCCGCCCTCTACCCCACAACCGGACCACTCCCAAGGGCGTAAACCCCCCACCCAAGGACCAATTCTGAGCCAGAAATATCCAGAAGTGCCCTCAGCATCCAGACGTGCGCGACGTTTTGTCGGTGGTTTTGGCACGAGGACTCAATGGCCCGGGCCGCTTCGTGGACAAGTTTAGTCTTCATCCGCGCGTGGCGGATGCCGAGCAGTGGTCCGGAGACCCAAAAGAATGGACGATTGATGCTCTTCGATCTTCGAGCTCAAAGACTGCATGGGGAAGACATCCCGAAGACCAGCAATCACCAAGACCAGTCATGAAATACGAAGTGAACACCGTTTGCACCCCGAGATGCCCGAGGTGGTCCGGATTATAGCTATAGGTTGGGTTTGTCCCATTACCTGTAACAGTCAGTAAAAAAATACTACTATTTTTGAACAAGGCCTTTACTAACCATCATCATCCACTGTTACAGGTATTAGGATAGATCCAAGCTATAGGATGCACGCAGGTGGTGTGGAAGCAGATGGAACATTCTTGATATTCCTGATGTTAATGGTTGTTATATACCAGGACACCCTAAGGGGCATCTATTGATAGCCCCTTAGATGTTAAGGGGTGTCCATTTACCACCCCGACTGTGTTATACATATATATATATATGTTGGTTTTGTGGCAGTTGTTGTTTGCACTTTTGTTTGTGATACTCTGGAAACCCCCGCCCTTTCAAGAGGTTGGTGATCATTTAAGTACGACGGGACATTTGATAGAAGTGCCGCCAAGTGCTGTCGCATCTCATCAGCACATGCCACCAGTGATGATATGTTTGTTTGTCGGAAAGAAGGTGCCGCCAGTGGAAAGCGCCAGTAGAGTTATACGCATAGAGAAGATGAAACGGATGAACTAGCGCCAGTGGGAAGTGGACACTGGAGGGAAGGAGTTGTCACAGTGGTTTGGTGCCTGGAAAGCGGACATGTAGATGAATGTAGTATGTCATCAATATGTTTCAGAATATCTATGTTGACAGTGTCACCTTCAAAAAAAGGTTGATGATGCTTTCGGACTCGGATGTCTTCACTTCTTACTTATGCACCCTTGAAGAGAAACAACCGTCTTCCAAGAGGTCACTTCCACTACCACGATTGGTTCTGGGACGAAACGTTGGAGATCACCTTCAATTGGTTCACATCCTCGGGCTGATTCGCACTCTTTGGATGCGGAATGTGGCGGGTCAGTGGGGCTTGGTGATGGACTCACGTCCCTCATGGGCTCGGCACCTCGCCGCCGCAGGCACATCGAAGACCCCTTCGACGTCCGCCACAACTTGGCGAAACATTGCACAGCAGCAGGTGCAGCGTGGCAGTGGTTCATCCGGCAGTGGTGCCGTTCATCCGTGTGGCCCCCGGGATGGTGGTTCAATGGACACTCCACCTCCGGTTTTCAGGTGCATGTGGCCTCCGGTTTGGCGCAGGTGGGGTCGATGGAAAGAGAAAGCACTTGTTCTAGCTACCGGGAATCCTGGCCACCAGGTCGACCCCATTCAGGGGAAAAATAGGGGAGATCCCCAGGACAAGTTGGTTTCGTATTCATTTGGATGTGTTTTTTCATAGGGAGACACTCAACCAAGGGTAGACTGGTCTATTTGTCTTCTTCCTTGGGGGCCTCCCCATTTTAATACACACCCAGCTGAAATTTCCAGCAGTTGACCTTTCTTGGGGTGTTCCCGACCAAGAAAGAACTCATCAATTTGGGATTCCAGCAAGCACTCAGAGACTCAGGGCACCCTCTCATTTGGGATCTCCCCCCAACAAATTCTACAGGATACCTCGCTTTTGCCAAATGGCTAAACTCTTGGAGAGCGCCATGCACAGACAGAGAGAGGGCCATGCACAGAGAGAGAGAGAGAGAG